TGTTAGGCAACATGATAATACCTGGCTTTCTTCCCTCTTGCCTCCTAGGGTCACTGTCACCACTTGCAGTGCCAATTAATGGCTTCTCCTGAGGATACAGACCCTTTTCCATGCAAGGCTCTCAGAAAGTCACTGGTCCTGGATGTGAGAATTCTAACTGCTTTAAAAAAAAAAAATGTAAGTCCTAGATTTCACAAAGAGCCAGATAAGAAACCTCAGCACAAAGCATCCCAGACAGAACCAACAGTTCAGCACCATTCACCATCTAGTCCCGGTTAAATTACGCATGTGCCTTTCATTTCACAGCAGCACATCCTGGTACTTGCTTGTAAGCCATCTCTTATACAGGGAGCTCAAAAAAACCAACTAGTACAGAGAGATTAAAGATACCAGCTTCACCCCTCATGGGGTTCTGGAGCGGAACAGGTTCACACTGGTGTGCTGGGAGTACTGCCAGAGTATCCATACCACTGCAGGCTCAATTTACTGGTGTCTGCAGAAGCAAGCTGACATTGTGAACACTGCTCACATGGAAGACTGTGCCTGTACTCACAATACTGTATAATTTCTGATTCTGCCATTTTGTAGCTTTCAGTTGCTGGCTGGACAATCCACTACTAGACAAGTCAGTAGTTCTCTCCTAACATGTTCTAACACAGATGATACCAATTTGAGTCAACTGTTTCTTCATTCTGCCTTTGAATCATCAATATTTATATTTACAATGCCATGATTATTTCTGAACTGCAATCTTAATCCTGGTCTGTATCAGTCCTGTCATACTTGAAATTAAAATAAAAGACATGAAACTGTATAATCAAGAAGGAATTCAAAAGGAACAATTAAAAGCAGATATGCTTTTTGGGGATAGGAGCAATGAAGTTCCTTGATTACGCATGCAAAGAACATCAAATTGCACCACAAGCAGGGATATGCAAACTCTTGTCATATGTTAAGTGATGCACAGAAATTCTGTATCAATAAATATTCTGCTTTACAGTGTGCCTGAATCATCGTAAGGTATGAAAAGATTGAGATCTGAAGATTTTAGATACTGTTCATTTGAAGATCAGGTGATATGAATTCCTGTGTAGAATACAAAGAAAAAACCTAATTCAGAAGAGCTCAGATTGGGTAAAAAAAATGAAATAATTTTTTTTTTTTTTTTTAAACAAGCATCTTTCTTCTCCCACCCACAAAGACAACAAGGATGTGGTTGGCCAGCAGTGCTCGCAGTGCTTCTGACGGACACTACACTGACTGAACGTTTTACTTCCAAGGATGGGACAGAAGGTCAGGAAATTCTGAGAAAATAAATGCTGATGAACAAGCCATTCCCTTCCCCAGCTTAAGTCAGCTAGTGGTGAATCTCTTTCTTGGAACAAAAGAAGAAATGAAGTGCATCTGCAAAAACATGCAGTTTTAACATCATTTGTAAGCATAGAGCCTCATATCCATCTGAAAACCATAGCGCTTCTCCATAAAGTCATCTCCTTTCATCTAAAGCTGTACTAAAATGTTTATGCCATTTGTGTTTTTTTTTTCAAACTCAAATTCCTTCTCCTCATTTTTGGAAAGCAGCTGATTAAACCTGAACAACTGGGTTGTTGGACGAAATATGCAGTAGCTATGAAATGGTACAGCAGGGACCAGTTTCACTGTTAATTTAAAATGCTAGAATTAATTAGGTAGTGTAAATGAAGAATTTAATAAGCACACTTTACAACCACAAGTTCTGCTTTTATTAAACATCCCAGCCAAATGAAGGCAACTATCTTCAGTCTGTTTTTCCTTGTCTTGCTCCCTTAAAAATCTCAGCAGTGAAAAAAGCATTTTCCTATCACAGCCCCTCCCCCATAATTAAAATTTATGCCTGACTTCCATCTCCTCTTTCAAGTCATTAGCATCTTTTAAAAATGCTACTGTATATCCTGCCTGTTCTGCAAAGCTACCAAACAAAACCCAAGTTTACAATTTTGGTTTTGAATACCAAATTAAAGGCTGTCTTGGAAGCTGTCATTCCTATTCAACTCAGCACGGTGTACTACCAAATTAGCATATATTTTTTAGTAAGGGAACATGGTTGTTTAAACATGTGTCTTTCCAAAACGAGGGGTAACATCACGAATCAATTTCCTTAAAAAAATCTAGTGCTGTTGTAAAAGACCTGCAAAAAGACTCAGAGCAGATGATTATTGCTGACACGTACTCTTTAATCCACTTAAAATAAAACAGCTCAGACCACAAATTCTTTCAAAGAGATACTTTAACAGACTTTGGTTAGCTTTAACACCCTGAAAAAATAGCATTTTGAGAGTCTAAATATTTTTTCCACAGTATCTGTGCACCTGCTTTAACGGGATAGGGAACACAGAATTTAACTGGTTCACACAAAAAATTCAATCTAGCCTCAGAAATATGAGGAAGACTTAAATATGGTTTCTCCAGACTAGCTACTTAACATTTGGTCTGTGACCTTTTCCCTGCCTCTAAACAAATATTTTAACATTTGTTTACCAGCATACATTTAGCTGAGATTTAAGATAAAATTGAGGAAACAATGATTTTGAGGAAAAAATTCAAAAGCAGACAAACCCAAACTAATTGTTTCAGACCTCCATCAGTTCAGCGCAAGTAGCTTAAGAATTTAATATTTCTTCTACAGTACAGCTTCACTATCAAATAAATCTGCAGTGATTTTTAATATGGAAAAGCAGCAGAAACCCCCTGAGAAGTCAGCTACTCCTGTAACAGCCTACTGTTTTAGCAATCCTGAATTAATACAAGCGTTAAAAATGCACCCTGAAGTGTAGCGACACTGTATCATCACAGGTCTCAAACCTGATCAGATTAATTCTGTTTTCAAAAATTAACAGCACAGGCTTTGGAGGACAATCCTGGTAGCTTTTTTCCTACCTGAATTTGGTTTGGTTAATTTCTACTTGCATCACTTTTTAAAACATGGAGGTTCTTACATCACACAGGGACTGTGTCCAGAAAGCATATATATATATATATATTTTAAATAAAAAGGAATATTTGCTATGAAGTTATTGACTTTAACTCTTAATAATCTTAAAGGAAAAATTATAGGTAAAAAACTACCCAAAAAATGTGAGATCACATCGCCAATTTTCTCACATCTTCAAATATAAAGGCAAGAGCCTGCAGATGAAATAGAACAAGCAGATGAAGTAACAGCTCTCCTTACAAAGGCTGCCAATTCTCTACGAAAACACACAATATCTAGAATTCAGAGATTCTGTTTCAAGGAAATCCCCATCAACAAGAAATACAGGAGGCAAATAAAGTTACTAAAATACAAGACCTGCCACAATCAAAATTCAAGCGAGGCACACTTGTAGATGAGAGTTAGTAATTCACTTGGGTCTCAAGTAACTTGTAGTTCTTTCCCAAATCATTTTCAGACTGAAAAGAAAAAATATCGGGGGGCTAAAGCTTGTCAGGTAATAGGTATCAAAAGTGTGTCATAGTGGGGTACTGGGACAGACAGGCATCAAAAGCAGAGAACTTGAGCTCTCGGCATGGAAATTTTTGGAAAGGAGTGCACGAGCAAATTGTTTTTCTTTTAAGTTGAAAAAGAAGAATAAATAAAAGAAGTCAAGTTGATTTTTCAATCTGTTTTTTTTCCATACCCTGAAGCTGTGTCCCAATCAGAAAATATATTGAAATAGATACATCATGGTCAATGTGCAAACAGAAAGCTCTGCCGGACTACACTTCTGAGGACTTGAGCTGCCCTGGGGCTACTGCCATTTATTATGTGCCTTGCGTTAAACAAGAACATTGCTGTATGTCAGGAAGTAAATAAAAAAGAAACATTGCATGTTTAGAAGCACTAAGCAGATAATCCTAATGCTGCCAATAAAACAGCTGCCAGGCTGTTACAGATGTAGGTATGAAGACTTGTCTTTTCAATTCCTCATTTTGACAGTGCCTCTTTCCAGATGATGCACACTCAAGCTGCCAAGAGCACACACTTGAGAAGGGGCTGCTCCTGTGCTAGAACCCTTTCCTTCCCAAGTCTGCTGCACTTGGTGCTAAACATAACACCAGTGACATGCTGAACAGCAGAGACGTTTCAGCTGTTCACCACCTACAGTGCAAGTAGACACAACCTATAAAACTAACCCATAAAGCAAACTACATGAAGTCACTGCTCACCCTGCTGCCGTTCTGTCCATCAGTGAATTTCTGGCTGTGGCAGCAAGGATGCAGAGCAAGTGAGGTACATCAGCACCTACCTACACCTTCTTTAGCAAAAGTGGAGACACCACTGTCTTCCATGAGGTAAGATCTGTAATTGGAAGCTTTTCTCATTCCAAAGGCACCAATCAACGGGTGCCACCCCACAGAAGAAGAGGTCACTGCAAACTATGCTGTTTTCAGGGAACAAAGTTCATTAACCAATAATCACAATAATCACAAGTGTTCAAATGAGATCTGGAGCAGTAGCTCCTAACTACACACCACTACTGTTCCAGGAAGCCAGAGATAAGGGGCTGTGATGGACACACAGAACCACTGTGGCTCTGAAATGTTAATGTGCAGAAGTCTGATGAAGGTACTATGAAGTCCACAAGAAAGTCAGAATTATGAACTGTTAGTTGGCTCAAGCAATTCAGATACGTTTGTACAACTGAGTCAACGTTAATCAGGAAAAATAAAAGAATGATGAGGAAAGCCATGTCATCATCTGAGCTCTGCTGCAAGAAGTTGCCTAGGAAGCATTAAATGCACGCACACTGGTAATGTCTGCTTCACTCCCCAGAGCTGCATGTGGGCTGAAGAACAAGGGTTCACCTGTAGATCTGCAGCCAGTACACATAACTGAAAACTAAAGGTTCACCATCTAAAGCAGCTTGCCATGATACCTGCAGTATTTCAAAGCACTTGCAATACGAGCACTGAGGTTTTGCTGACCTTAAGTGTAAAGAGACCCTGATGTACAGGAAAGCAAGCAACGCTCAACAGCTTACCTGTGATTTTGTCTCTCACGAGCTTGCAGGATTCTATTTCACCAATGCTCCCAAAGAGACTCCTGAATTCCTCCTGGGTCATGTTCTGGGGTAAATAGTTGACTATGAGGTTGGTTTTGCTGTCATCTGTGGCAGCCCCCGTCTGCATGGGGGAAGGGCAGTTTCTACTGTTGCTGGAGGGTCCATTGGTTGTATTGGAAGTAGGGCCATTCGACACCTGAGGCTCCATGGTGCTAATTATCTAAGTTAAAAAAAGAAAAAGAGAAGAAACCTTAAGTTTCATAGATATAAATGCTGTTTTTTTAAAAGATACTTACAAACGAGTGAGTAGGTAGCATTCACGGCCAATTTAGATATTTCAACAAAAGAAACCGGCTTGATTCCTCTGTTATTGTTGCAAAGTAGGTCATGCTAGTCTTTGGCTGTGAGCATATACTAAGATGCAGTTTAAAAATCCTTTTTTGTTAATGCAAAGCTGATTTCTGCTTTCATCACACAGCCATTTTCACAAATGTATATTTAAACCACATAAATTTAATTATAATTTAAGGTAATAATCATAATTAAAATTATAGTTCCATTAAATCAGATGAAATAAGTGTACGGCTCTATACGAAAAGGTAAAATATTTTACCTATTTAATAACTGTATCACAAAGTGCAACGACAACAACATTAACCAAGCACAGCCAATCTGCAAAGTGTCATCATTTGGGCTGCCTTTAGTTAATCCAGGCACCGTGTCCCAAGGCATACCACTTACTGGTTCCAGGGATGACCTATATTTTCCAGTTATTTTTCACTAACGAACTGACACCTCTTTAAATAATAAAGCCCTGGATCTGCAATCTTCAGAGATACAAAGGTCTTCGGATAAGTTACTGGATAGGTTTAATCAGATACAGCTTATTCAGTGCAGAATGGTATTTTAACACGTGGTTCTAACTTGAAACATGAACGTCCAGTTTTTCCACCAAGACTTCTCCAAAATGCCACGTAAGAAGCTATTTTGCTCACACAGACAGGTGACAGTGTCCCTGTTGTCACAAGTGTGCCCAATCATGTGGGCACAGCTGCATGCAAGGCCCCTCTGCCTGCAGGATACACTGGAGAACGCAGTCTGCAGCAGAGCTGTACAGACATGGATGAAAATAAACCTGGGTGCTTCAGGGCTCTGCAGGGACCTGCTGTGCCCACGGATGGACAGAGTGAGCAGGAGCCATGGGAAGGTGCACCACAGGAAGGGCATGGAGGAGAGCTACCAGCACTGAGCCTTGTGCTCATCTCATCCTGTAATTATAATAATTACTCATGACTTAATTAGCTTTCTTTTTTGAAGCCAGGGAGGTATGTATTGCGACAAATTAGGCTCGTAGTTGGGTTGAGAGGGGGGCACCAGAACAGAGGAGTATGATCTAAAATTAACTGTACCAAGGTGCTTAAGTCTCTAAATAGACTAAGTTCCGGTCAGCATTTTTTGTTTTTACATTGATACATTTTAGTCTTTATTTAAAGCTATATTTATTAAATAATCCTTCATTTTCATCTATGGAAACAAGTTTTAAATTGCTATTGATTTTGATTACTGGACTCCAGAATACATTACGTGGTTTGAGCATTTCCAAATAAAAGGAAACCTTGCTACATTACGCTTAAACAGCAAGGCCTTTAGCCACAATGCAGAACAGTTCCAAAGAAGTGCTAATCCTGGGGCAGCCAGCAGCCTCAGAGCCCCACTGCCCACTTCAGCAGCCACGTGTGCCCAAACACCTCAGGTGAGGCAGCACCCACCCATATGTTCAGCACTGCAGACCTTCTGCTTACCCAGAATTAGCCATACTCCCTTCCCCAATCCAATTTCCAACACGTATTTACTCACTAAGTGCTTCAGACACCACTAAATCTGTTTAGCTCAGAGGTCCAGCTGGAAGATAATCTTTTGATCTCCGCATCTCTAGCCTTACAGCGGGTTCTTGCTCCAATCCTAAGCTTTGCTAATAACCTGCTGCCCATGCAGGCTCCTGAAACCCTAAAGATAATACACCGAGCTCAGCATGCTTGTATTATATATACATACACACACCATATCAGTCTCATTAAAGTAAAATCCAGCTGGGGCTTTCCCATTGTCCCCCCCAGGAGCTGAGGAGGAGAACACAGGCCATCCCAGGCAGGACAAGGCCCCAGGTTCAGTCAGAAGATGGCAGCGACGCAGACATGGCTAGCAGCAGCTCTAAGTCATCTCACTGTATTCTTTCCAATACAAAAGCCACCAGACACACTGCAGTTTTAGGTACTGGTCCTGGCCCTCTGAAGCCACTGCAGCAGAAGCTGGCCTTCAGCACAGCGTGCTGACAGAGCTACGTCACCTATTATTAGCAGCAGCAACAAAAGCTATGTATAGTTTCCCACGATAAACAGAAACCTCAATCTCTTAAAAAAAAACTATTCAACAAAATTCGAAGCTGGCTGTGTCCTACTTCTGTGCTACACAAACTCCTTTTAGCTGCATTTTAAGCACGCTTTACCTTTTACTCCATGCAGTAAATACAGTTTAAGGTATTTAACAAATAGAGAACATTGGGAATAACCTAGGCTGCTCAGTAAAGCCTGTTCTTGAACAAATACACTTCCTCACATAGCATCTCCAAAGATCTCAGCATAAGCCAGTGTGACCTCAGGCACCAAGGTTTCCTCCTGGTTGCTCTTAGCTCCAATCAGATCTCCTCATTTGTCAGTAGTAGAGAAGCATTTATTTTCCTGTTGGCCCTTTGAAGCACTACAAAATTGTAGATCACTACAAATGGACCTGTACATAAAATTTAGATAACAGAGACAGGTGTTTTATTTACTGCATAATTTCAAGTCTGTACAGAGCCATTTCTGCATAAAGGAGCTAAGTGCCAGGGGAAGCATCCAAAGCTCTCATGGGCACAAAGGAGCATCAGTTATTTTGCACATATGTACCGATTCACATCATTAGCAAAAACTTAAATTAACACTAACAAGAAACATAAATCCCAGTCCTCTTTTTAACACTGTCCTCAACCCTACAAATCAATGAGAACATGGATAGCAGTTAACATTAAGAAGCTGTCAGCACACTGCTCTTTGAATATATGTAGTTATTCTCATGTAAAGTTTCAGCATACCATTCACTTCGTCTACAACATGAAGACAGACTCTGAATTCAATACTGATATCGCAATATGGATATTTTTCAAGTACATGCTACAGTTTCCCCAGCAAATAGTTCATTCTCATTATGTTGTAATTACTGCTGATAACATTAATTAATGTTAGTACTTTTTATAAAATCCTAGAGTATGGAAGGAGGTTATGAATTCATCTTTAGCTCATGAAGGGCTCACCTGGATATCAACGAAGTAAATGTTGAAAACCCACCAGTGGCTGCATACAAAGATTTTTTGAAATATAAATATACAGTAATTCCTTAAAGATCAGTTATACCTCCTTACACACTACTTTAACCTAGCAACATCTTTGTTGTTCTGCAGCCCTTCTCTAACCTACTTTAGCTGGAATCTCACTAATACAACCACATGTGCTAACGTGCCCGTGCTACCAGTACAGAATCACAGCCTTCTGCTCCCCTCTCATTCCTTTTCTATATAGAGATTAACAATAACTGAAGAAAAAGCTGCAGTTACTATTTTTATACATCAGTAATTTAAGCACCAATACTTTGAATGTTCCATGTTTGTAACATTCAAAACCAAAATTTCTATGACTGCGATTTTTTTTTTTTGAAGTTAAAAAAGGCAACTCATACCTCAAATTCTAGGTACATTTCAGACCGCTGAATTATAAGAATTGCTTCTTAGTATACTACTTTTCTCAGTATGGCAATGCATCAGCCAGGCACCAGGTATTTCAGTTTGACAGATCTCACAAAGGAAAGCTCTGCTGCTCAGGAATTCAGCATCAGCCTTGCCTGCATTCTGCAATACACTGCTTACCAAAAGGCTTAGTACAACCCCTCCTACAAAATATCAGCAGCAAATGCACATTACAGCAATCCCTACATTCCAAACTATATTTCAGAAATACTTGTCGTATCTCCTTATACATTTTCTCAAATTAATTCAATTAATTTAGTGCTGCTGAATTATTAGTGCCAACAATAATGCAAAGAATACCTGTATGTATAAACAAAGCGATTACAAAGCTTAAACAAGCTACAATGACTGACATTTATCTTCAGTTGCTATTACAGTAAGTGTGTAACATCCATCTACCATTACAAAGCACAGTTAATGAATCATTTAGAAAACTACCCACAGACTGAATTAAGACAGGCTTATCTTCCTATTGCATGCATAAACAATAGCCAATGGCTTCATAAATGTAAATATACATGTTTTATATTTACAAGATTTGCTCTCAGTAGACTGAAAGAGGTCTGTCTGTTGGAGTGAAAGACTGTCACAGACCTACACTGCGAGGAGTGTGTGCTCAGCATATTATTTAACACTCATTCTTGTTATCCAAGTTACATAAGCTCTGCTGCCCGTTTTCCACAATAAAGAGAAATTAATTTTAGATGTTGAAAAAAAATAGAGTAGCAATTAACAATCTTAAAAATAAGCGTATGCGCAGGCACTGAAGTGTTTTAAACATACCACAATCTCTCCCTTAAGAGCCTGAATAAAAAATTCTAAGAACTCTAAAGGATTCATGTGGACAGCTCCATTTTGAGGACTTAGAAGTCAAAAATGTTATCTATGAATAATAAACTGTTCACAGCACCTAAATGCCAAGAAGAATGATGGTAAATTACACCTCATGAAGAATTCATGAGGTCTAATTTTATTTTAATTTCTAACTGTTCATTAATGAACAAACTCAGAACATTCTCTCAAAAAAAATTAAATAATGCAAAGCTCTTACTTCATCTTAAAAAGCTCTTTAATTAGCATTGCAAGTTGTTTGCTTTTACATGAGAAAACAAATTGTGCCATGGCAGAGGTCCCACAGCCATCTCCTGAATAAGATGACAAAAGGAAAAACAAACAGAACCTCTCAAACAAAACAGAGTCACAATGCTTTTCTTTCTATAGAAAGAAACAGGTTTTTAAACTCCCAGCTTCTTTTCCTCTGAAAGCAAGGAAGTCAGTTAGCACAGCACACCAGCCTGATCCCACAAGAACTTTCCCTGCAGGTTGAAAAGCCCAATCTGCAGGAGCTGCCTGAGCAGCCCAGCCACAGGCCTTCCATCCGC